CTGAAACGCCATTTTATTTATTCCCTTGCATTTAAGTGCTGGCTGGCTGGCAGCAGCTACGACGGGTTTATTTATAAAACTTTTACAGTCAGTTGGCCACATTGCACATGGCTTATTAATATCCAAAGAGAAAGAGCATAGATACACATATCCGTTCACACATAGATGAACGACGCGTGGATTGCATAATTTAGAAAATGTTTAGTTTTTAAACTATTCAGCAGCGTCATGGCTTTTATTAATATCCGACTCTCTTGGTGCTGCAACTAATTTGAATGTGTGGGGGGGAAGGGGCGGGCAAGTTGATTGGATAGACAACAAAGGCTGGCACAGCCTTGCACAGAAACAACAACTACAACAACGCCAAGTGTTACAACAGCATAAAAGAGACAGTAGAACAATTGCAACAATTTGGCGCATTTAGGCCAAGTAGCAGAGACCGAAGGCTGCATAAACATAAAACGAAGCGTAGCCTTTTCAAAACTATGCGCTACATGGCCAAAGGTTAAAAGCGAAGAACAAAGAGCAAGATGCTGGGCAGCCGTTGAAACTGTGTAGCGGTGTTGGCCGATTATGTGAAAAAGGTTAAAACAAACACATCCGACGCCTGCCCCACTGCCTCCCTGCACCATACTTGACCCAAAATGTGGCAACACTCGACGGTGATTAATGCGCACGATAAGACCTATTAAGTGGCTCAGATTATGCACAGGCACCCTGAGCACCCTGAGTACCTTGAGCACCCAGCCTTGGGCCAAGTACCATCTAATCCGGGGGCCAGGGGCAATCTTCCAAACAAAACAGAGCGCTCAACCTGAATTTCGCAATGGGGCAATGGAAATTATGAACTTTTGTTATGCGGCTTGTCAGCAAGGGACCTTCGCATGACGTCACACGCACGCTAAAATACATCTACATATGTCAGAAGGAAAATCCCATGCCCTAAAGTTAATTTTAGACAGCAGCCTATGCACAAAAATAGCCGAGCGCGTTGCGGCTTTCCGCTATTTGTGGCCTACACAATTGAATGACACGCACAAAAGAGGCCTAGACTCCAAATTAAAGTTACCCGAAGTGCTCAAAAATAACTAAATACATTCCAACCTAACGCGAGCACAAATGACAACTGGCCGCAAAAATGCCAAAATAAAGAGATTATAGGTGCCCGCGTGCCCCAAAATGTATGCTACAAAATTTATTTTGTTTGCAAATCGCCATCGCGTCGGCAAAGTTTTTCGCAAGTCAATAGGCTAAGCTGACGATGCGCAAATGTCCTTTGACCTTGAAAGGCGCCCACTAATATTTAACTTCGTATTTTATTTTTAATTAACACAATGGCAATGGGCGAGATAAAAACTGCCAAGTAAGCACAATTAATTGGCGGGCCAGGCACATGCTGTAAGGTGCGTGAAATACGAGCATATACATAAGTGTGTGTGCAGGGTGGCTATGTATATGAATAGATAGGTATAGGAAATGTATTTGGGAGCTATATACATAGTGGTAATGTTTTAACGCCAATCTAAGGTATTTAGTGGAGGTTCACCTTTCATTGTGATTCTTTTCTAAAGAATAACAATCGTTATAAGGTTGTGATATTCTCAAAATTTTATATTATATATACAGCATATATAAATATATACCCAAACCCAGATAAGACACGTTGTAGTGCAATAAGAGCCTTTGCTGACAACCAAAGTATTTTGCATACACAAAAGCAATTTGGTTTGCTTCGCGCCCAACAATTGCCGTCTTGCATCCTTCAACCTTCAACCTAAATGCCAAATCAGCGCATTTACACACATTCACATGCATAGTACAGATAGTACTGGATAGTTGTTGTTTTAGTTGTTACTGCCATGCCGGTCGCAAATGTCGCTCGCTCCTCCGCCCTCCCCCCTCCCCTTTGAGCCCTGCTTGCATGTCCTTGTTGGTGCATGAGTTCATTGAACGCACGCCCCAAAGGTTGCTGCAGCCTGCAACGATGGCTATGGCGATGGCGTCTGCATTTCCCTGACGAAAGCGTGAGCGCGTGAGTGTGGGTGAGAGTGTGGGTGAGAGGGTGAGAGCACTGCAAATGATGTGTAAAAGAGAGAGCAACGGAGAGCGGCTTTGCGAACGGCGCGGCGGTTCAATGCACGCCAAGTAGGTTAAAAGCAGCACCCGGCGCGTTGCGCTCATTTGCGCAGTCGGAGCAGCGACGCTGGCCTAAGCTGCGGTTGCTGGTAACTGGCTATGACGTCATTAAAATGCCGCTAACATACACACACATACAAAAAGGGTTGTGACTATTCTCAGACAACGAAAGCTGCCTCCACAGCCGCTACATTGAAACTTTTTCGAATATTCAAGAATCAAGCTAAATATTTTATTCACAAGACTTGTAATATAATATCCTTGGAATAAATACTATCTTTGTAAGTAATATACAAACAAAACATAATTATCAAATACAAAAAAGCTGTTCTTAAGCAAAATCAATATTGAACAGCTACGTTTTTTCTGTCATTTTGCCAAAGACAAATTTGTACCTTAACTTCTCTTATTCAAAACTTTTCCATGATAACGATTGTATTTTAATATGACTATTAGTTAAAGCATTAAATCAACTTGCAAACTTAAAGAAGGTAGTGGTTGAGCTTGAATTGAAATAAAACTGAAAAATATTAATTTTATTTACGAAAGTGTATTCATAGTTTGTTGTGTGTGACGAATGGTGTCACACTTTCATTTGTGTGCCCATTGGTGTGCATGTACGAGTAAACATGCATGTGCTCCGTTGTGTATAAATTGGGCACAAGGGCGTTTAATGCAGATTTTTTATTTCTTTTTTCTGCTGACTATAAGTAGACAGTGAAATGAAGTGTGCGGGGCATTTGTTTCCCTGTACCCTGCGGCTTATGGAAAGTAAGTCGAGCACTAAATGGCATGCCAAAAAGGGGAAACAAAAACAAAACACAGCTGCCGAAAGCCCGAAAGCGAAATGAAGTAATAAAAATTATCTTTGCTGAAGTTCTACAACGTTTTACCCCCAGCCTCCTTAAATTTTCAACGGCACTGTAAGATTATCTGAAACGCAACTATAAAAATAATGTGAATGAAATAAAATTAAAACGAAACGAAATTGTTCTTCTGTTCTTCAATTTAACCTCATAAAATTGAATGAACTCCTTTCGTTTTTTCAAGAGGCTTCCTACAATTAAAAATTGGTTCAAGAACAACCTTCTGAAGACTCTCGTAGGTTTATTTGGTTGTTGATATAACTACAATTAGTTATCGCACACGAGGCGTATGATTAATATTGAATGAACTCATCAAGTATGCAACATAAAAAGTTTCCACACAAATTATGGTTGTGTACATAATAAGAATAAAACTTTGATATCAAAGGGCAGACCTCATTAGTGAGCAGGCCAGCTCTAACTCGTACCCCTGCACCGAACTCAACAAGGCGACCATAAACCGAAAGTTATGAGCACATTAGATGGGTAACGTGTCCGGTGCTGCAAATGGCAACTCGACACGGCCCCAAAAGGGCGGCATGTTAAATGTCACAATGCTTGATATGCCTTTTGAAGCCGTTAAATGCGTTGACAACAACAACGGCAACAATAAGGGCAACAATAACAACGCCAGTGACAATGGTAACAATTATTTATTTTAAGCATTGTCTGGTTTTGGCGTCGCCCAAACTTTAACCCTGCCCTGCCCTGCCAGCCCCCGTTAGCGCAGTTCTCGTTGTCTGCTCCTGTCTGAAATTGTTTAATGCATTGTTTGGAGGATGTCACGAGGCGCGGCACAAGCATTTAACGGTTATCCAAGCTGTCAGGTGCTTTAAAATGGAAAATTTCCATTGAGGGCTCCACGAGCATGACAATGACGAGAACAATGACAATGAAGAGCCTATGTTGTACCTCAAAAATGCCGCGAAGTGGAAAGTGATGAAAATTTTTTATTAATTTGCGCAGAAAATTTACTTCGAGGTAACTTTAATGGCTCACTCTTGAAGTAACGAGATCGATAGACGTACTTCAAATGTAAAACTTTTCGTGTCATAGTCAAGAGGCCGTTCTAAAATATTCCGCTACTGCCAACACAAATGGCCCATGCCGAATAATCCGCTGGAAATGCGAGATGACAACAAATGGTCGATAAAAACAAACACAAAGACAACAATTTGCATGCCGTGAATGGAAAAATACCGAACAGCGCGTAACCGAAAAGCAGACAAGCGCACCAATGAGAAATCGAGCGGGGGAATGTGAAAGGATTGGAAGCCTTAAGTCCACCGGCAGTTGTATTAAACACTTCATGACCGGCCACAAACTATATATAGTATTTGGGAGTTATGAATTAGCAGTCTACTCCGGCTCAAGTATTGTGGAAATACATACATAGATATGATTAGCAGAGACAACAATTTTTGCTAATAATGCGTCTATATTCGAATTACTGCTTTTAGAGACCTTGCAAAACACACGCCTATTTTTAGCTGCTGAAGAATACATCTTGGGCCGTTCCAAAGAGCTTTACTTAGGGCAATTATTTTTACAGAAATCAAAAAAACTAATTTTAGAAACAAGCAGCCATTTCCAAATGCAGGACATGTTTTCCTTCTGCCTGTTGTATACTTTGCACATACCTCTTATACACATTTTACTCTTCGGGTATAGAGTATAAAACTATAGGATGTATGTATTTCACAACACTATCGAAGATCCAAATATTGACTATCGAAAGGATAGATGGCAATTTCTACCACGGCATTACGTTGTATTTTGATTTGGCGATCTGTGAAACCACTTCTCCAATGCACAAAACTGTTTTTTTAGTATATCTTCAATTAATGTGGAAATAAAACACACAAAAATAGTGAGCCCGATTTTGGAAAGCTCCAAATATTTGTTTATTATGTAACTCGACACAACTAAGGAAAATGTTTGAATATTTTTTGTGAATTTCAACAATTTTGGAAAGTTGTCCTTTCAACACATGATCTGTTGCATACTTTAATGCAGCTTTGGCATCTCAATTTTATTGTAAACTGTCAGTCTATGTGTTTCTCATAATAATCGGCTCTATGGTATCTTGCGCGGTAACTGATGGTACTCGGTTCAATCAACTAGTTACCTCTGCTTCCCGCGGATAGTCTATATCTTTTTCGAAAAGATAACACTGCACCCAGTTGGAGTCTTCCCATTTCCCCGTAAACTCAGGATTCCAGTTCCATATCAAATGCCGCTGCATCTCCTGATTGCTATCGAATCTATTGCCATTTCTTCGACACAGTTCGAGAAACACATTCGCCAAGTACTGCGATTTCTCAATGCAGCAACGCACATGGGCCGAGGCACAATTATCCGTTTTAGCAAACAGCTGCTCATGAGCTGCACGCTCGGGATGGAATTGACTGCCAAAGAAGGGGTACTTTCGGTGCTCAATGAGCGTTACGAAAGATAGTTGCTCCGCATCGGAGCATGTAGCCAGCACATGCCAGTCGTCCCTGATTCCATGATTCCCCAAGTTATCCTCTGTGATGCAAAATCGGTGCTGATGACAAGCAAAGGGGACCCTTTGCATATCCTCCGCCATATCGTCCGGTAGCTGCTTCAGCCATACAGACTCTCGATAGTCTATCGTAACACATATATTGTAGAAAAATACAAAAACAATATAACTCAACAACTCTTATTTGTTTATGCAGTCTTGGCCAAGTGATAAACTAATTTGGAATTAACTTTTTTTAGATTTCTCCTTCTTATGCCTTTTTAGCTTATAATATGCTTTGTATAAACTATTTCCTATGTCGACAGTCAATGTTTGTTGACATAAATAAATAAATAAATAAATTTGTTCAAAAGCTTGTCCAAGGCCTTGCCAATATAATTTTTAGCAACTCGATGAGATCGCTCAATTTTGGCCAAGACAGAATTATGAATAATATAAAAAATTGTCTATAATTTACAAAGGCTTTTCTAAATCATTAAATATACGTTTCCTTAAAGAATGTTTTTTTGTTCTTATAAGTACCACCGTACGAATAAATACCTTACCCTTGGCAAGCTTCAATGGCAGAGCCTGGAACATGGGCTGGCAATCGCATCGCACATCTTTCGAATCCGCAGCATTTATGAGAAGCAGCTGAAAGCCTAGGCAAATGCCCCAGATTGGGAAATATTCGCCCTTCTTATTCTTCTCCACTGCCAATTCGTAGATGTGACTAGCACTCTTCACGCAATCATTGCGGAGATTGTCGCGCAAATCTGCATCATCGATGAAAACTGCGCCACCTGGCAAGACAACGCTATAGAAGAAAAATACTTGTAGGCCTTTAACAGTCCTGCATTTGTAACTAATTCGAATGTTTACCCATTAATTTTTCTCATAGTTCTCTCGTAATAGGCACGGTCACGACCAATCCTGAAACAAACATCACCAGATATGTGAAATAGGTAGGACAAACAAATTCTAAATGATGTACAACCATTGGCTTCATTCGTTCGTTCCCCCTTGTCTAAAGAAGTCGTTAAACCCTTTTAAAAGCTGTTGTGGACGTGCGGAAAAAGGGGTGCTAACAAAGCTAAGTTTAACAACAAATTGCATAATACAAATGAATGTTTTCGTATTCAATTTAGTGTTCTAATATTTTGTATTTAAGTCAGATATAAACGTAAAATCAAACTGATAATATGCATGGACTGTACATGTGCAAATATATATGAATACAGCTAGTAGTGCAGACGAAAGAGTATGAAAAGTACATTATATCATTAAAAAAAAGAATCATTCGATGTGGATCAAAACTTTGAATTGTCTATGTACTTTTCTATTACAATTGAATACCTAAACACACTGTGATGAAAAATCGATGGTAAATTATTTAAATCTACAAGTGAGGAACTGTTTTGAAAGTGTATGTTCTTAATATTTAAATAGCAGGTATTATTTGTCCACCGTAGTTTATAAAGTGTACAGTTGCAAAGAAAACAATCAAATGTTAAGCAGTTTAATAACCCCAGAAGTTGAGCTACATTATCTATACTATTGCTTAGTTCGAATGGTGCAGCCATTGGAAATCGACACCACACAGTACAGGGTGTGTTGCACGCCCAAATCTAAATATGTTAAGTTTTCAAAAAAAAAAAACAACTGCTCGACGTCAAAAATTCAAATTCCGACACGTAAGTGCAGCACTCTCTGTTTAAAAACAAAAAAAAAAAAGTTTCGTGCAAAGCTTTTGGCAAACCTCCCGACGCTGCAGCTGATTCTGCAATTTAGCGCACTGAGCACTCATATGTTTATTTTATTCCTATTGTTGTTGCTGTTTTCGCTGTGCGATTTTCACTTTCAAGGTAAAAGAAATGAAAAGTTGTTGTTTATGCAATGTACTATTCGCATCGTCTGCTTGTGAATATTCCATTTCCTTTGTTTTCGAACTTGCAGCTGCACTCACCAAATCGGCACCACACATCCGCCGGCACCTTCCACATACTTGACGTACGACGCCGCTATATAACTACTCCAACGCTCGCCGTAGCGCTTTCCCAGCGACGTCGCTATATCGATGCACAAGACGCCAATGCAGGCAGCTCCTCTGGCCGCACCACTAACTGCCGCCTGATCCAATTGTTTGGAGTTCATGTCCCTCCCGAGCAACCCATCACAGACTGCTGGCCGATCCAATGGTTTTGAGTTCATGTCGCTCCCGAGCAACGTCTTATTTCGTTCAAAATCAATATCACACTGACACGATACACACTGCCGACTGCCTGATATTAAACGCTTACCAACAAAAATGGACCCTTGTAGTCTGCACTACATGACTAAAAAAGGCAATGCACCCCTCCCAGTTCCCGTCTTTGAGTACCAAATCGATGAGTAGCCTCAACGACGACTGCGAACTGGATAGTAGAGGCGTCGTATTCTACACGGTCTACGTGATGTTCCATAAAAGTTTGAATGGACTTACACATCGCGCAGAAAGTATAAAATGATTGCTGAACGTGTGCATACAAGTACGTACATACATATGTATATTATTAAGCAAGCTTTTGTTTAATATACTTTTGTAAACACTGCAGGTGCATTTTTGTCAACTTTTTTAAATTCAGATAAGATAAGCCCCCACAAAAAGGGGCTTTGTTTTAATTGCTTAAGCAATTAATCTACTGTCTTTTTGTTACTCATCAGTTATTAACATGTATCGAATCCTATCTTTATTGTTTTATTAAATTGTTCATAATCCGAATAGCATGTCTGCAAATAAATACTTAATACTATATAACACTTAGTATACTTCGGCAACTATTGAGCTGACTGAGTTGTCTTCCGATGCATTATCAACAATAGAAAATAGTTATGCTTGAGAATAATTATAGTTGTAGGACGTTAGCTAAGGTTGTAGTAAAGTTTAAAGTGTGTTCTTTTTTTATGTTACTGTACATCCGTTTATCTCGATTTCTGAGCTATCACGTTGAAATTTTGCATATTTTTTCAACTCATAGAACTGCTTTGTGTCTGAAACTGTTTATAAAATATTTTATATATATTAGCGGGTTTTGAGCAAATCGAGTGTCTATATCATATAGCTGACATTGAAACAATCAGGCAAATGTTTGTCGCAAACAAATCTCCGTCCTTATTTCAAAGACTATTTGAATCACTTGATAAGTAAGCAGTGCTAAGCAGTTTTTATCACTTTGTTTATACCATTTTTTATATTTAAGCTAAAGCATACTTTTGGGGATTTGCAGAGCTCCGTTTTATGCCCCGAACGAAACAAAAATACCAGAAGCTGAGTTGCTAAAGGCCGCCTAATTATTCCTACTTATAAATTCTCAAATAATAATAAAACCTACAATTTTGAATGACTTGATAAGTAAGCAGTGCTAAGCAGTTTTTAAAACATTGTTTACCAGAAAAAGCTGAGTTACTAAAAGCCGCCTAATTATTTCTATTTATAAATTCTCTAATAATAAAAAAAACCTACAATTTTGAATGACTTGATAAGTAAGCAGTTTATACGTAACAGAAATATCAGAAGAAACTGAGTTACTAAAGGCCGCCTAATTATTCTTATTTATAAATTCTCTAATAATAAAAAGAAACCTACAATTTTGAATGACGTGATAAGTAAGCAGTGCTAAGCAGTTTTTAACCCATTGTTTATACCATGTGGTTTCATATTTAATCTAAAGCATACTTTTGGGGATTTGCGCAGCTCCGTTCCATGCGCCATACGTAACAGAAATACCAGAAGAAGCTGAGTTACTAAAGGAAAAGTATTTATGCGGTCATTCAGGAATAATAATAGTTTCGAGCGATTATTTCTTACTGGCCGCCTAATTATTCTCTAATAATAATAAAACCTACAATTTTTAACAGCTGTCACATAACGATAATGTGTAAATGTAATTTTTTAATAACTGCAAAGAAAATCAACAGTAGTTTCGTTAAAGTGCGGCAGCTAATATTTTTACACAAATTATACAACTCGTTCTATCCAACTTGATAGACTTGTATTACTTATTAGAGTCAAAGCAATAATATGATAAACAAAATCTAAAAATGTCGTTTTGTCATCTCTTTTAGGCCAAACGTCTCTTTTAACATGAACTTATGTATATCTTTACCAATTCCGACAGCCTCATTTAACGGCTGAAAACCACTTTTCCACAATAATTAAAACATTCAATGCAATTGATTGAATTAATAAGTGGAGGCTCATCAGCGAAACCGAAATTAAAGAAGAGCTTAAGCCACAAAATGTGATCGATGTACACAAAATTTACCAAAAAGTCAACAACTCTCTTAAGGAATCCGGACTCATTACTTTGACCTTTGCTTCCCTTACTCTCCCCGAAAAAATAATGATTGGCTACGAGCAAGTCACCGTACGACCATATGTGCCACGCCCACTAAGATGCCAACAATGTCTACGATTTGGACATCCAACCAGCGCCTGCAAACAGACTTTCAAAACATGCCGCAACTGCTGTCAAGAGGAACACACTAAGGAGGACGAGACCTGCAACAGAACCAAATTCTGCATCAACTGCAAAAACGAAATTGAAAACAACCACTCACCCATGGATAAAAACTGTCCTATATTTTTGAAACAAAAAGAGTTGACAGCAATTAAAACAATTCATAAAGTAGACCACAAATCAGCTCTACAAATATATAACGCACGTCACCCACTTTCAACCACAACCTACTCCAAAATAGTAGCCAATTCTCCGAAACAGACATCTCCAGCGCAGCCGAACACCTCATCTAGCACATCGAAACCCGCACACAATACCATTAATAACCTCAGCACCACGCCTACAATCAATACCACTCACCAACCAAATCTAAAAAGAATCATCACATCTTACGCCGATATCGATATGGACACCACACCACTGATGCAAGACCAGCCTAATCACCAACACCCTCAAGACGACCCCAAGCTCCGAATTTTTCACGCTAAGCAGAATACTCTTACCAAGCCCCTAAAATCTAAAGAAAAACTTGACCCGAAACTTTTAAATTCAAAAACTTAACAACACCAGTGCTACCACAACACTATCATTTAATTTAAATACATATATATATATATATATATATATATATATATATATATATATATATATATATATGTATTTAAATATAAATATAAATATAACAACAAAATGTTGAAAGTACTCCAATGGAATCTTAATGGATACCTAAATAACTACAACCAATTGCAGCTTTTGATAAGAAAATTCTCCCCAAAAATTATATCTCTTCAAGAGACCCACCTAAATACGCTAAGAAACTTCCCTATCCCAATCAACTACCTTATATACAATATCAACTCTGCTGGCAACGCGTCAGGCGGTGTCGCTATTCTTGTACACAAATCCATTCATCATACTGAGATACACCTTCAACAAGACTTCGATTCCGTTTGCATCAAAATCCACTCTAAATTAACCTTCAATATTATATGCTCATATATCCCCCCCAATCATAAGATTACCATCAATAACCTAGAAAATGTCTTCAGCAACATAGACACTCCCACCCTTATCACCGGTGATTTCAATAGCTGGCATATGCTATGGGGATCGCCCCGTAATAATAAGAAGGGACACATCATAGCCCAATTTATACAACAATCACCGCTAATCCTACTAAACGATGGCTCTCCTACCCATTTCAGTACACATAGCACCCTGACCCATGTTGATCTCACTTTCGCCACCCCAATTCTCGCTCTTCATTCCTCATGGCACACCGAATCCGATACCTTCTGCAGTGACCACTTCCCAATTATCACATCCCTATTCGAAACCAACTCAACCCCAATAATAACTCCCAAATTCAAACTAGATAAGGCAAACTGGCCAAGATTTCAAGACGCTAGCTACCATTTTCACCACCAACGCCCTAAAAGTAAAAATCTGAACAAGGAATCAGCAAACATTCAAAAAATCATTCACCAAAGTGCGAACTGTTCCATCCCACAGTCCACTTACCAACATAATATAAAACACCAGGTCCCTTGGTGGAACAAAAACCTTCAAAAATTAAAACAATCTAAAAATTCCCTTTTTTTAACACTAAGACGAAACATATCTACTACTAACATAATTAATTATAAAAAAGCAAATGCACTATTCAAACGAGAAGTAAAAATAGCAAAACGCACATCCCTTGAATCCTTTACCGCCGAAATCAACCCCGGCTCTTCTTCCTCTAGGATTTGGAGCAACCTACGCTCTTTCTGTGGTCTAAAACCAAGTCTTTCAATCCACTGCATTACCAAATCAGATTCCCAAGTCAATATTACAGACAACTTAGCCATAGCCAATGAACTGTGTACCTTCTGGTCTGCCGAATCCAGTGATGAAAACTTCTCCAACACCTTTATTACTCTGAAAAACAGCTCCCTACTAGCCCCTCCCAAGTACCGGCCGTCCGCCTCTGCCTTAAAAATAGAGTCACCTATTTCCACTCTCGAGCTTAACATAGTTCTTTCAAAATTAAAAGGAAAATCCCCAGGCCTGGATCGTATATCTTACGCCATGCTGAAAAACCTCCATCCCTCAGTAAAGCTCCGTTTAGTGGACCACTTTAATAACATCTTCAATAGCCACATACCTCAGCACTACAAGCTGAGTAAAATAATTCCCCTAAACAAGCCACATTCCGATAAAACTTCCCTCAACTCTTACCGTCCCATATCCCTTAACTCGTGCGTTGCCAAAACCCTGGACAAAATTATCGCCAACCGGCTATGGTGGTTTGTTTCCCATAATAAATCAATTGATAGCCGTCAAACAGGTTTCAGAAAAGGAAGGTCGATTTCGGACAGTCTACTAGTTTTAGACCACTTGATTTCGTCCTCTCTATCTACAAAAAACCATGCCTCAATTATATCACTCGACTTTACCAAAGCATTTGATAAAATTGGCATCCATTCAATAATAGACGAGTTGCGTTCGTGGAAAATAGGTCCTAAAATAATCCAATACTGCGTTAACTTTATGACCAACAGAAAAATTAAAGTTTATGCCAACTACCACTTTTCCTCAACCCTTCCCCAACACAACGGCATCCCTCAGGGATCACCCCTGTCAGTTATCCTATTTATCATCGCCTTCAACAAACTTAACTCCATAATTAATAAACACAAGCAATTTAACTTTTGTGCGTACGCCGATGACTACCATATATTTAAAAAATTAAACAATAGCTCTCAAATAGACATAGACCCTTTACTCACCGACATTCTCTCCTGGTGCGAGCATTCAGGGGCCAAACTCTCGCTCTCTAAATGCAAGCACCTCCATATTTGCAAAAAGCACTCCTGCCAAATCAAACTTTCTACCACTCTTACCCCTATAGAAAATACAGACAAATTAAAAATACTAGGAATTACATTTAACAAAAGATTTAACTGGCTGGACCATATATCTAACCTAACCGCTTCAATTTCAACACAGCTTAACATTATAAAATGCATTTCCAACAATAAATACAACTGCAGCCAGCTCAGCGTTATTCACACTATTAATTCCCTAATAATGTCAAAGATAGATTTCGGTATATTTCTTTACGGAAACTCCCCTGCTTCCTATTTAAAGCCAATTAAAACAATTTACCATTCCGCAATAAGATCTGCTCTTGGTGCCTTCCGCTCCACTCCCATATACAACCTCCTCTTCGAAGCCAACATGATGCCAATAGATATCAGAACAAAATTTTCCACAGCCAAACTTATTAGACAAATTTTACTTTCAAACGGATCACCACTGAAACCAACAATAGAAAAAATACTTAAATCAAGAAAGCCAAACCCTAATATTCCATCCGCCCTACATAGAGCCCTGAAATCAGTTTTAGATCTTGGTCTACCCTTCAAACCTTTTCCCCAAGAGAGACACCCTATTCCACCCTGGAATGATGTATCTTCCGCAATAGACATCTCTCTACACCAACTACCCAAACTCATTACTCCGTTACAAGTTTACCACCAAAAATTCCTAGAGCTGAAAAATACCTACTCATCTTACTCATTCATTTATACCGACGGCTCCAAAATGAACGGTGCAGCTTCTTTTAGCATAGTAGCTAATGATTCTCACCAGCAAAACCTATTACCTTACTACAGTTCCATCTATACAGCCGAAATTATTGCCATCCACAAAGCAACACTTTTATCGCAACTCTCTCCTCATCCTACAGCTATCTGTACTGACTCCCTTTCAGCAATAAACGCCATCTCCAATTCCACCAATACTTCATATTACCCATCTGCCATAAGACAATTACTATTAAAAAACATTAAAAAATTAAAACTAATATGGATTCCTGGACACTGCGGGATAAAAGGCAACGAAGATGCAGATAAGACTGCCAAAGACGCTTTTCTCCTCCCACTCACATTTCACAATAACTTTAATATCACAGATATCCTAAAACATATAAAAAAACATTTCAAATCCGAACAAATATCTCTTTTTCATCAAACGAACTCATACTACAATTCCAACAACACAAAAGCGAATACAATATACGACTACGGTCGAAATCAATCCAAGCTTTCAATTCCTCGCTCCACTTTCTCGAAAATTATTCGTTTAAGATTGGGCCACACCAACCTCACTCATAGTTACCTTTTTAATCGTCCTCACATAGCGCCCCTGTGCCCTATGTGCACCAACCAGCGTATAACCATTCAACATATCCTGGCGGAATGCCCACATTTACAACCTATACGAAATTCTCTATTCCCCACAATAAGCCCCGTCCAATCCCTTTTTGATCTCAATCCCCTTAATATAGAAACGATAATCCGATACCTCAACAATAGCAATACCCTTAAGGCCCTATAACATAATTTGTACATACAATAAGTTAAGCCCCGTCCTATATATTTATATGTAACAAATTTAAATATCCTTAACTGTTATTTAATGCTAGCTTAAGGCCTCGTAGCTATAGCTAAATATTTGTTCGCCTGTACATTTTACATTGCAGCCGAACTGTTAATAATAATAATAATAAGTGGAGGCTAATATTTAGAAGAATCATAAAAACGAAAACTCAAGCTCAAGCTCAATTTGTTGTTCAAACTCGAGTTTTCGGCAAGTTTTGACAACTGCACGTGCAAAGCAACAACAGCTAGGAACTAGATACCGAAACAATATGTGCGTAGAGCCTCTGGATTAGTTATGCAACGAAACCCACAGGCAAAAAGCTAGCGCGCTGTATGTTATAGTAGACAGCGCTACAGCATCAGCACCATTGCCATTGCCATTGTAGGGGAAATAGTGAGTGTTATCCTCATCCTCATCACCGCCCTCCTCAATCGGAATATCTTCAAACAGATACTGCTGCACAAACGCGGAGCCAAGTGGGGAAGTATACTCTGGACTGTAGTTGTAAATGAGGGCGGACGATAGTTCTGTCTGGTTTTTGAATATGTTCGGATTGCGCCGCGCCTCATTGACGAAGAATTCAGCAAAGAACTGCGAACAGGAGACGGCCGCTTGTGTATGTGGTATATTGCCCTTTGCATTGAACTCATAGAGCGGTTTCTCGGGGTGGAATTGGACGGCGTAGAAGGGATAACTGCAAACATGTCATTAGCAAAATGTCGGTTTCGATTGTGGTCTTGAAGTCACTCACCGAACATGTTCAATGGTTGATATAAACTCAATACCGTCCCAATCATGATTCAGTGTCATCACACGCCAAGTTTTGTATAATTGAAGCGCTTCAAAGGTCTAAAAAAAAATTGCTTTTTGATGAACTAAAACGTGTGAATAGTGCCATACCGCATACCTTCTCTGTGTAGCAATATCGGTGCGAATTAATCGTCACATTCTCTTTCTTCAACAGATCCATAATCAAATCACTTGTGCTGTTAAACAGACGACTCTGATTGAAGTCTAAGAAGCAGATTAAAACATGTATATATTAAAAATGCGCTTATACGCTGTTAACCTTAATTTGTATTTTCAAATATTTCGAAGATGATGCAGAAGAATAGGTTATGAAGAAATCCAAAAAGAATCTACATAGGTTTTTAATGAAATGTGTTGTGCCGTATCTAAATTTTGATTTTATAACGTCTGTATATTGTAGAATTGTTCACTCACCTGCCTTGAACTCCAACGGCAATGGCTGTGCTATAGAGCTGCAATCCGTGCGCGCTTCAGTGCCATTTGCCAGCTTATATACCAACAGTTCCATGCCCAGACAAGTGCCCCAGATAGGCATGAAAACGCCCTTATTATTAAGATCTATGGCAATATTTATCAAATGCTCGCCAGCGTCCGAATATCCGTTGCTCTGATTAAACCAGGTAGCACCACCGGGAAGGAGCACTCTACAAGTATTAGAGAAATAAATAATTAAGTGAACCGATCGAGATGAGCCAAATTTCTTCACTTACCCATTAATCTTTTGCATTAGATCTTCATAGTAGCTGCGGTTTCGACCAATCCTGCGAAAGAGCATCGAAAATGTTTAATAATAAACACTTTTTATCTTAAGTAAGATTGCTTTCATTTAAAAATGTTCATAAAATAGAAAGAGAACAGGTATTAATTCAGCTTTAGCTTTTCCTTATTACAAAACATGGACTTGAAAACCATACTTCAGATTCAGAAGATGAATTGAATGAATGAATTGATTGAATCACTCCGAATTTCTACGTTTGCTTGAGCAGGGTATTCAAGACACTCGCATACCCGTAATTGTGACTGTAAAGTGGGCCACATTTTCATTAAGGAATGCGTGACTCATGATGGATGCTCCTAAAATGTTTCCATAGGTCTCGGTCAATCTGGTTCCATGCAAACTATCGGACTACAATAACTTGTTCTCTCGGCCTATATTGCAACAACGTCTTTCTTAAACAATCTCAACAATATTTGTTGATACATATGTACATATACATATTTGTATTGAATTACTTGTAATGAAATCGTACTATTGTACACCTGCCATATATATTAGAAAAAGTTAGCTAATAAAACCAGATTTTAGGAATATTCTTACGATAAGTTTTTATGTTATTTGAAAACACAGAAGCTGAGCACCCCAATTGTTTTATAAACAAGCTTTGAAGTGACTCGATGAGTAACAGTCTCGATACACCCGTTCAATATGTTTTTTGACCAGATTTGTATTGCGCTAGTCATGCCCCTAATGAGAGTCATGCCCCATATGCATTAAACAGACACATAGTATATGCAAACGAATTTATGACAATTGTAAACGGCTGCTGATTTCGTACACTTTTTTGCTTCGCAGTCTGACCGTTAAAAGTGTTATCAGAAGTGGCTGGTTATGATTTATATTACTATCTCGATCGACTACGCCAAGTAATCAAAATAATCTTATCTTCTACGCATACTCGTATTTATAACAATTTGTATATATTTTTAAACAGATGTGTCTGTCCACTTCAAGGTCCGGTAATCTATTATCATAGCCCTTCATTAACTTACCCAATTGGCACTACTCTGGCGCCAGCACCTTCCAGAAACTTGACGTACGATGCAGCGATGTAGCTGGTCTTGTTTTTAAAGTTTCGAGCAAGCAAGCCGTTCGGTGCGATCTCTTGGCTCAGCACACCTATGATGGGCGAAATGCTAGCATCAGGCGAAATAGTGTTAGCACTCAGGACAACTGCTATAGGCAGCAACAGGAGCAGTGGCCAATGGGAGTCCAACATCCTTTCAATTCGTGAATTCACGTATTCCAAATATTAGATCACACAGTAGCTGGAGCCGGACAACCAACTCGGTGCGCTTTCGTCGAAGAACTGAGTAGCGTGTGCAATTTAAATTTGTTTTCATACTAGCCACGTTTTCTTCGAGCGCGCGTTCGCTCGCTCATTTTTAATTCCAGTACAAACAGACAATAGAGCAACAACAACGACAAAAACGGGCCTTAATAGAGAAATGCGGGTCTGGGTAATATTAACTGTCAACGACATTATTGATTCGCCTTCTTTTGAGCATGATTTTAGGGTACCAGGGGAATCATTCGATCGTTTAGTGGGGAATCACTGTAAACCGGCTACAGAGATTCCAATTCCAAAATTCACTTCACTTAATGAGCATTGTCCCGGACAGCACCACATAAACAAAACAAAAAAACTCGTTACGCGACCACATTAGCGCAAAGAGCAAACAATGAGCGTAGTAGTATTAATATTATTATTCTTTTTCGATTGAGCTTTTCTCGAGGCGTCTAATGGAACGCGAACGCGTGTCATTAAACGCAAATCACTTTGCATACAGAAACCAACAAAATATGATGTGGCGAATAAACAAACGCGAGCCAATATCGAAATTTATTTACATACATTCTTTTATTAAATTGAATGCTTCTTTCTGCGCTGCGGGAGGCGCTTTCTTGTTCAGAGGCGAATGCTAACACGTGTAATCGATTTGAAGTAGCCGATTGCGAATCGATATTGTTTAGGGTTAACTCAATTATTTCCCATCAGACGCTGAAGCTTCTTCTTTATGGTGCTCTGTATGCTCAACAGGTATTTCATTTCGACCAGAGTGGCTTTCACAGCAGCCAAGTCGTTGACCTCAAAGCAGGCGGATAAGGTTTGTGCCATTGTATCTAGTTCCTTGATAATTTGCGCGTTCAGCTGCTCAAGCGTGCCGCTATCTGCAGCATCTTCAACCTCTTCGTTACGTTCCATCATGTCCATGAGGAAGGCCTTGTTGAGGGCTGTGTTATCCTGCGGCATCTGCTCGCCCTGTAGCTCCAACATATACTGGCCACGTTCCAAGGGCTTAGACAGCGTTTTGTAGGCCTTGTTTATCAGCGAGCTCCAATCGGCGGAGTTATTCTGCTCCCGTGTGCTTCTGTATGGCGCAACAAATGTATTTAGTATTTCATGAGCTGTCCAATCATTACTAACGTGTTGCTGTACTTGTCGGGATGCACAAGGCCCTGAAGTTGGCGGAATCGTTGCGTCAATTTCTGCCCCTCCACGGCAAAGCTTGTGGGAAAATCTAGTAGTTCGAAGTAGTTCTACAAGTGCAGGTATTATGGCAATTAGATCATGTTGCAGTTCCGAATTTACTTATACCTACAATGCCAGAATTCACATCCTGCAGGCGCCGGCAATTAGCACAAATCATGTTCTGTTTGCACAATGATTGCTTTTTACAATTCCAACAGGCAGGAGTCGATGTGCCATAAAAGCGCCCCTTTTGGAAGTACCCAGCTGTACTAAAAAACGACCTCAACGCAGAAGGCACGCGCCTCATTTTTCCAAATAATCACATCAATGCTCTTCTCTTATCAATTACACAAGACACCGTGTTGTAAGCAACAAACAGCTGACAAGTCAACAGCTGGCGCAACAATTTAGTGTTGAAAAACAATGGTGGTGGAAGGACGTTTGCAGCACTGCCTCAATTTATTCCTTTTACAATAAATTTATTATAATTTAGTTTATTGCGATCAAACCCTTTGCAAAAATTCGCAGCTCGCTTAAGGTAATTCGAAAAAAAAAGGTTCGGCTTGAAATATTGTATTTATTTTATAGAAAAAGTTATGCAACTGACGGATTGTCGCTTGCTCCAGGTGAGGCTCGAACTCACAACCTCGGCATCGCTCATACTGATTATAAGTACCGCGCGGCTAACCAATTGCGCCACTGGAGCTGTTGACCGGCCGCTGCCAAAAGCATAATATAAGCACAATTAGTTAGAATAGAACTTAAGTTTAAGTCGCAGTTCGTGTAAATGTGTGATTGTAACATTAAATCCAACCTGAAATATCGAAATATTGTTAGCTAACGAGTTTTTCAAATTAATTGAACTGAAAGTGGGGTTTGTATATATGTATGGGGGAATATATTTAAAAAGGTGAGTCCTTAAAAACGCGGTAGGAAGAGCTCAGCTCAATGGTTATAAGAAAATGCTGGGAAGTAATTAATTCTGTGTAAAGCGTCTTTCTCTCAATAGCTTACCATAAATTGAACTAAGAACTTTTTCATCGAAATATGTATGTATACTTTTAAAAGAGGCAAGAGTATTCTGTCATGTTTTAGAATTTCCAAATAGCGGCCTTATGCCGCAGCCCTTTAAGAACACGAAAGCATTTTAGGAAGTTGAAAAGTCCGTTTTATTTTACAATATCCTTTAATTTCTAAATATGAAATTTAAACCGAATAGTGTTACTTTTTTTTTACTTATTTATCATTATGTGCATGCATGTAAATAAAAAGCTTAAATGGAGTCCTTTCTGTAGGCGCGATAGTTGTTCATCTCGTTTGGAAACGTTTTGTACAATTCGAGAAGCAAATTGGACTTGAATTTTCTATATGCATCAATTTTTCCCTTCACTTCCTCGTTCTTGGCCAACGCCTTCTCGACGCAGTCCTTCGTGTAGAGCTGTGGATTCTTGTCCTGGTCAATGTAATCAAATACTTCGAAGGGCACATAAACATCCTGCACCTGAGGCCTCAGTTTATCAATTTCCTGCAGACCAGTAACCAAACTATTGCTGTAAATATATAAAACAGTGGAAATGGTAAGGATATGCATAGCAGACAGTTTCTGATGTAATTTATTGAAACTGGGGTATCTCTTACATTTTCTGATTTAATACGTTCTGTCCCTGCGGCTGAAAGTCACTGACAATGATGCGTATCTGACGCACATTCTCTATAAACATTTCTAGCTGTGTTTCCAGATTCTCTAGAGGGGAGGTCATTGTTGAACTCTTTTACTTATATATTAACTACGAATTTAGACAAAAGACTTCACTTATTTTGTTTTACTTAAGCCAAAGGTGTAAATACGTCTTCTTCTTCCTACTGTGTAATTCAACGTGGGCAGATAAATTTTGTACATTATCGATAGCTTTTGACAGCCGATATTCACGCATAACCCAACAATCGGCACTGCCTAACGAAGTGCATGTTAAATTTGTAGGACAAATATTCACATTTTTTAACAAAATTTTTTAGTAAACTATGTCGGACAATGACTTAGACGCTTTGCGCGCTCAGCGCATGTCACAGTTGCAGTCCCAGCTCGTAAGTTCAATTTCAAACACTGACGCTAATTATCGCGACTTGGCGCTGTTGTAATTTTATCCGGACACGAAAATGGCCATAAATAGAAAACACGAAAAGTTAAAATGTGAAAGATTGAAAATGAAATCAAATTTGTAGTTAATGCCATCCTGCATCCCCTCGATCGAAAATTCGACACGCGCAATGACTCATCATCGTTCTTGTTGTTAGCAAAATTTGCCGGCTGGCGCGTGCTCGCTTGTGCACCTGTGCAATAAATAAGTAAGAATAAATATTAGGAATGTCCTTACACTTTTCAGGGCGGTGCCGGCGGCAACGATGGCGAGAAACAACAACAGCAACAGGAACAGATGCGCGCCCAAGAGGAAATGAAGCACTCAATATTGTCTCAAGTGCTTGATCAACAGGCACGAGCCCGCTGTAAATATTCATCTGAAATAATTCATTATTTTAACCAATCTGTATAGCAACTGCATTCTAAATACGTACAGTAAACACACTCAAAGTCAGCAAGCCAGAGAAAGCTCAAATGTTCGAGAACATGGTCATTAGGATGGCACAAATGGGCCAGGTGCGCGGGAAGCTAGACGATGCACAATTTGTTAGCATAATGGAGAGTGTGAATGCCCAAATGCCGCAGAGCAAAGCAACGGTTAAATACGACAGACGACGAGCTGCCATAGATAGCGATGATGAGGACTATGGTTGCTGATTGGGAAGAGAAACTCTAGCTATGCTATTTTAAGTTGCCTCCTAAGATCCCATTTATAATGCGTTGCACTTTATAAATTACCTATTATTTTTATTATTAAATTAATTTTTAACTCAAGTTCAATGTCTGCAAAATTGAATTAATACAAAATTCGTCCAGCCAAGGATAGCAATTAAGGCAGACATTGCAATACGACTAGAATTTGGCTTGGTACGCTCAGGAATTTTCGAAAGCAATAAAATGGTTTTACAATGATAAATGAAAAAAGTGGTGAGAGGATGGTTTATTCCTTCTTTTCGTGATCATCCTGTTCCTCCTCAGTTACTAGGCAATCGCCGCAGAAAATGGAATATAGGATGAGGGAGAGAAAGCCCAATGGCAGACCAAAAATAACGGTCGTCAGCACGGGATTTCCTTGCCACATATCGCGTAGGGACTTTCGCACCTCAAAGAGTGCGCGATTAACACGCACAAAGTAGGTATCGCCACCATAGGCAGTGGCGCTCTCATTGCTAATCGAATCTAGGAATATGTGCAGTGCCTGCGGCGTCATTTGCAAGGGATCATCGTCGGGTATGTAGTGATGCTGGGTTGTCGAGTTGATGGCTATCAAGTGTGGCGTTGGCATCTGGTCGAGTATGATGGAATGCGCAATAGATGGTTCGCCAATCTGTAAAGGAGAGCAAACCCAATACGTGACCCTATAACGATATTTGTGAATTTAAAACTCACCCAACCGAACTGAAATTTATTATGGTAGCGCGGTCGATGTTTGCGAATGACACCCTCGACCATGTCACGGAATTCCAGCTCGTGCGTGGCTATCTGACTGAGCTTGTCCTCTTGGACTACAGCCAGCACCAAATACTTTTTCGTCTTCAGCAGCTGGTGTATGTTGAAGCGCGTCACTTTTGGGAACAAAGTGAATCGTTCGACATTGACCCACTGGAATATTGTCTCATTTACTTCATTTGGATCCATCTCGTGTGCCACATGACCATGTGGATAGAAATGATGCTGCTCCTCTTTATACACAATGACAGCAGGCAGCTTCTCGAAATCGAAATGCTGTGTGGCAATGTCCTCGCTAGTGGCATAGAAGAAACCATGCTCCTGATATCCCTCCGCTGCCGCATAGTAGGTATCCCACACCACACCCTCCTGCTGCCCCACAAACATAAAGAATATGGTGTGCGAACCCTTCAGCATGTCAACACTTTCGGTTCGTGTGACTAGTTGTACTGGCGGCCCAGACATGCGCAGAGCATAGTCCACAAGCTCGTCCTTGCTGCGATCGCCGCTGTACGTAAACTCCATGTTCCCTTTGACAAACATAATCGTTGGGTAGCCACGCACCTTAAATTCTCGAGCAGCTGCCGGATACTTTGTGCAGTCCAGCCGGCCTACGCGCACGTTAGTGGCATGCAGTGCCTGCCCGACCAATGCAAAGATGGGCTCCAACCGCTTGCAATACCCACACCAGGGCGCATAGAACATTACCAGCCACTGGCCCTCGTGTCGCACATCAATAAAGCGGTCGCTCAACTCGAACACACGTGATGAGATGACGGGTGTGCCCAGCAACAGGAGCAGAGCTTTTGAGTGGAGAAATCAAATGCATTATGTATATTGTCTGATTTAGGCAAAGAAAAGTTCCATTACCGCTCAACAGACTCCATACAGATTTCGGCATCTTTAAGTTGCCGGCGCAACGCAAACCTTGCTCCACAGCAACTTTTAATTAGCACGATTCATATGCGCTTAACTTAATTAAACTAATTTATTTTTTGCAAATCGCATGAATAATTGTCAGCCACCCCCGTTTGCTATGTGCATATGTTTGTATGTACATATGTACTTGGACACAATTGAAGTGTGGCAGCACCTGCACCTTGTAAACAGCTGTTGAGACATTACGCTGTTCTGGCAGCCCTGTAGTATGGTACTTTTATGGTATAAAAATACTGTCGTGCGCTCTTCATGCACGTGCTTTCCATTTGAAACATATGTATTTGATTGTTTTTCACAATAGTGTGTAATATAAAGCATATCCAAAATGAAAGCGCGAGATCCTAGAGCCCCAGAAGGAGGAACTGTGGAGTTTCATGGTGTACGCTTTTACAAAATCAAACCGAAAGCCATAACTTGTCTAGCGTACAACAAGCTCCAAAAATTGTTGGCTTTAAGTCGGTGAGTGTTCGATTCTATGTTGTGTTGAATTAAACAAATTAATTTTGTAATTATCACTCAGCGAGGATGGCAGGATTGAGATATGGGATTTGCGCTATGCAGCGTACCTTGAACGTGTCATACCGCAGACAGGAAGGATCAAGGGTTTAGCATGGGCGGGCAAGAACCGATTGTTCTCAGCTAGTCTTGCCGGCGCCCTTGTTGAGTGGAACCTGAACACGCTGCTGCCCCGATATGAGTTAACGCCTACGGGAAACGCGCTCTGGTGCTTGGATGTGAATTCGCAGGAGACGGAGCTCGCAATTGGTTCTGACGGCGGACATATCAACATATTTGGCATTGAGCATGACGAGATTACTTATAAGACGATGTTCCAAAAGCTAAAACGACGCATCGTCTGCTGCAGATTCGACAAGAGTGGCAAGCATCTGGTCACGGGCTCACGGGGCTACCTGCGCATCTGGAATGTTAGCAAAGGAACTATGCTGCATATCATGACGATGAGGGACCGCAATGTGTCCGTGCGCTCCCTGGTAGTGCTCAGTGACTTCACAATTATAACCGGTGACTCTGCTGGCTATGTGACTGTGTGGAATGGCGCCAATGGGACACAGGTGGAGTCCAACAAGATCCTAGCCCGTGATGTTGACGCGCTGGCCGTAAATGAAGAGGAGGATCGCTTGTTCTGCAGCGGCAATAACCCGCCAATAATACGTATTCTAAGCAAAACGCAAATTAAACGCGAGGAATCTCAATACGAGCGTTGGATAAAGAACCTGCAGCGCGATGTGCACAAGCATCCTGTTAAGGCTCTGGCGCTGATAGACGACTGCGTCATTTCGGGCGGTCAGGACGGCATCCTATGCATTTCTTCGGGCACCAGGACCAGCGCCATGGTTGCCAAATATGTGCCTTTCTTGCACGGGAGCACCGCAGCGTTAGCACCAAACCCTAAATGGCTGCTTCTACGATACCAGTATTCGTTGAGTTTGTGGCAATTGGGAGCTTCAAAAAATGTTGATGCAGAAGGCATTGGTGAGGGCCCTGTGGGCTCAAGTGTGCAGCTTCCCCTATGGCGGTCACCACGCCAATTGTTGCAACTCAACACTGACCCGAATAATATGCTGATCGCGTCTGCTATATCTGCCGACGGCACCTGGCTCTGCTACTCAACGACCCGGAACATACGCCTGAGTTGCCTCCAGATGCCTGCTACCAAAAAGGAGTCAATAATAATAAAACGCATAACGGAAGAGTTACCTGCAGAATTTCAACCCGCTACACACATCCAGTTTACAAAAGATAGCGATGGCTTGCTAATATTGCATGCGGCAACAAGACAACTGCGTGCCTTCAGTCTGGCACAGGAGCGTGTAAAGTTCACCTACAGCATTGATCTCAGTGCTGTGATCAACGCGCCCATAACCCACGTAGAGATTTCACAATGTACAAGTTATGTGGTCGTAGCAAGTGTAGATCAAACGATCGCAGTATGGCATGTAAGCAAAGGGAAACGGCACGAGCATTTGCTCAATTTGCCACGCTACAAGGCAGCCACGACGGCCCTGGCCTTACATGAGGAACATCCATTGCTGGTGATCGCCTATGCGGATGGACGCATTGTGGAGTACGATTTAACGGAGCGCCGTTTCACCTGTGAAACGGATCAGCACTTTGTTGAGAACTCTTCAACACATTGCATTCGAGGCGTAGTGCTGGATGCCCAGAACCCAAACATTTTCATTGTCTACAACGAAGTCTTTATGTATGTTCTGGAAAAGGTGAGCATAGCAAGAGATGAGACAGTGCTAGAGGAGCCGAGACAAAAAGCGAAACGTCTTAGCCGTTCCTTCGATGAGCCAAAACTGACTAGTCTTCGTATAAAGCTACAGATGTATCGCGAGGTAAGTCGATATCTCATGCATTTATGCATGAGGGTTTTTTATTGTATAGGGATGGATTATATATAACCTGTAGACTTTACGTAAACCTGTCTAATTACATGGTATATTATTCATGTTTTATTCATCTTGCAGCATCTAACGCACGTATGTCGTTTGGGACCCAAAGAGATCGTTACCATTGGATTAGAGACAAAAACTCTCTTGGCCAGCTTACCACCGCCAGTCGAGAGAAAAAAATTCGGTGCCGCTTAAAAACGATTTCAAATTTTAGTTCTAGTAAGTCTGTGAAACACTTCTTTGTTTACACTTCAATTACTGTCATTAATTTAATAGAAATAATAAAAAAATAATACTTAAATTTTGATATTGATCTTAAAGCAGTTGATCTTGAGTTATTAAAACTTAGTCTAAATAATATAAAAACATAGTTTACAAAGCACACAAACTTTTCAATTTTAATGAGGCCAAGTTAAATAGCTTCTTACATACCGGGGCTTCAATGGAAATGGAACTTTTGGCTTTTGGATTCTATTGCTGAGACTTATTAGCTTTTGGATAGATTTTGCGTAGCTCTCCAAGAATTTCTCGATCAATGGTTACTTTATATTGTTTCAATATTAATAGGTCTTAATCTAGCATCAACTAAGTATAGTGCAAGAAATGAAAATATAAGTTAATTAAATGCAAATACCCATCTCATTTATTTCACTCCACTTTAAAAACCATTCTTGCTGATAGTCCCGCTGTAAATCTAGTAATTTTCGCCAAAGAAATTATTTTGATGTAAAGTTGGCCATTCGTCACTTTCGGACTTATTTTTCGGTTATTATAAAAAGAATGTTTCACATGATGTTGGGGATCACATAATTTGTTCAAATTTGAAAAGTAGTATCATTTGGATCTTTGAACGTAGCTATAATTAGGATGCGATTAGGATAGTTACTGACTTGGAATAAGTACAAAGCAGCATTAAGTAGATAGCTTGCTAAGCATCTTATAATTTCGGAATAGCGAATTCGAAGCACATTTGTTTCTGGTGGCTTAGCACAAAACGAACAAATAGGAAATACGACTTGTCAAAAAAATATTCTCAAAAATTTGTCGCTGTCAGCCCATAAGACTCGATCTGTATGTGAAGGTGTGTGTGTGTGTTTGCGCCCGCGGATTGCACTCGTCTACGGGTCCTGCTCCTGCCACTGCCACTGCGCCCGTTGTTGAATTCCACGTATTGTGTAACATTTCGTTTTGTCGTTGGCATTTAGCTGTAATTGTTGTGTGCATTGTTGCTATTGTTGTTCTGTGACGTGGTTGTTGTTATTTTTTGGTTTTACACTGTCTAGCCAAAGTCTAGACAAGTGCATACCACACACAGATAGACACACACACACACGCACACACACAGACACTTGCGAAATGTCGATGCACAATTCAACTTTTTGCTCAAAAACTCATTGCCCGGTTTTGGATTCCGTCCCACAGTCTGTGTGGCATTGTTGCTGTGTGGGCGTACGAGTATGTCTGTGTGTGTTGGTGTCTGCCAAAAAGTATCCTGCAGCTATATAGCCAGGCTGCATGTTCTCTGCTTTTTTCACACAACATTTCATGTTTTTTTTCCTTTGTATTTGCATAAAAATTTGGTACCATAAAATCCGTTTTCCTGCTGCGGTTGTGGGCGGATCCTTTATTTTTTGGATTTCTATTTTTATGGTGCACATGCCTTTGGGCCTTTGCCATGTCGGCTGAATTTGCATAGAAAACGAAGTGGCAAATAGACATAAATAATGAGTGATAAAGCTGTTTGGCTGTTGGTGAACAATTCAGTCCCCAAATAGGCATCTATGCTAGTCCTGAGGGAGTCCTGCACCTAGTAGTTATGCATACATTAATCAATCCTGTAAGATACCACGCGGATTGCATTATTTGAAATCAATGATCACATTTAATTTTTTCAAAAACATCAATTTCTTAATGTGTTGAGAATACGAAAAAAAGGAAACTCTTCGGTTAATGTACTCGTATTTTTTTCCACTGCAAACTGAATTATTTATAAGCGCTTGTCGCCTTCTCAAAAGAATTTTTTTTACATTTATTTCTATATATGTACAAGTATATTAAAATAATAATGACGATTCTTTTTGTTGTATTTGAATTTGGTAAAGTTAAATAATAAATAGTCTTGCTTTGCCTTTTCGTAAAATGGAAGTCTCTTCACGAACTTCACGCTGTATTCTTCAGGTTCCCAAGTTTCACGCACAAAGCCTTAAAAAGAAAGCCAAATGTTAAGACTAACTAAGAAATGATAATTAACATTAATAGACCTAAGCTATGTTCAGATCTGAACAAAAACACTAATTTACACCAGCGGTGAGCTCATATGTTGATAATTGTAATCATCGGAAGTAAAAGTTCTGAATTTCTTAATGATATTCCAATTCGACAATAACATTTCGCTTCACTTTGTTACCAACTCATTCAACACCATCTCGCATTTCTGAATTGCCATTCAATCAGTGGCTTCTGGATGCTCACGCTTTCGCCGACATTTCAACCGACTTCGAATGGGTGGGGGTGGTGGAGAATTCGGGAAGTAGTGGGAAAACTTACGCAAACTACGCGACCAACTACAAGTAAAGTCTGCTTACAAGTCTAGGGCGTCTAGACAGGCGGCAAAACTTTGGCGGTGGGCTAAAAGTTTGCTTCCAATGCTACGGCAAAGGCGACGATGACGACAACGGCAACATACTTTTGCTGTTGAACAACTTGGAAGCCGTTGCATAGTGGTTCAGAATCGTTCCTGAGCGGTCAAAAAGGCAAAAATGTAAATATGTTGATTATAAAATCCACAAAATATATCCAAGTTTTGATAATTGTTGTGTAATTTTATGTAGCTATTTGCCTTTTAGAAACTATTAAATATTTTTTAATTCAATTTCGCTACAACCAAGGAAATAAAAACTGCTATTAAACGCCCTTGCATTTCGGGACGGTTTATTTCTTTTTAATTTTATTTTGACAAATTAATTATTTTCTTCAACTACAAAATATTAAGCCTTTTCAAATAGCATTGTACAGCTTTCAAGATTTTCAACATACTTTTTGATTTTTCGTTTCTATGGCTGCTTTCTTATACAATCTACCATCCGTTCATCAACATTATAAAACATTTCTTTAACTTTGAAATAACATTCAAGGAGGGGAAAATATTGGAATTCCACTTAATGACTTTATAATAAGTGCTTGTATGACATCTGTTATACACTTCATTTCTTAACAAGCTTACACATCGACGTAGAAAACTTGTCTGCTGAACCACTGTGCATTGCAGCAGCTAGAGGGGGTTAGGCAACAAAGTTTCAAGCCAAGACCAGCACCACCACCAGCAGAACCAGAACCATGCCCCCCGAACAATGCCTCAAATTGACATTTAATTGGTTTGCAAATTAGCGGTGCTGCGTAGTCGGAAAGTGTCGCGCTGCAGTTACTTCTTCATTTTTCCATACGGAGGCCAGAGCGCATTTGAATGTGATGGGATTTCTCGCTGAGGTCCCCTCCCCTGCTTTAGATGGCTGCGGTCTGATAATTGCAGTTTTATGCGCGCATTTTCATGCTAATCTCCTATTTTGGAAACAAGTTACAAAGAGCCACAACGCCACACACATACGAGTACATCAGTCAACAAGCAGGGGCCCGAGATGGGGTTACGTTGGCTATGATTGGCCACTAATGAATAATATTAAAAAAAGCTCAATTTGCATTTAATAATATTAATGCGTCGTCGTTGTTGGCAGCCCGTAAAAATGAAAAGCTGCACCATCAGCATAAATTCGCATGCGGTTGTCATGGCACTGCCCTCCACACCAGCACACCATTATTACCACAGACCCCCACAATCCGTTCACATTCGAATTGGCTGCAGCAGCCAGTCACCTAGACAGTGAGAGAGTCGGTTGGGGCGAGGCAACGGGGCTGGGAACCGAGTCTGGGACTGGCGGGTCGTTGGCGCTGTTGCTAATGCTGATGCACTCAGCTAGCGGCCGACGTTTGTCTAGTCGTGCAAAGGACAATATAAGGACAAATGTGGGGGCGTCTGGTGTGGTCTGGAATATCGTACACGCGACGCGTCTGCTGTAACTCTTGGTTGTAGCCAAGTTGATTGAATTTTATGCTCAACAAATAGCAAATCAACTTAAATGGTCTGCAGTTCGGTAATTGGTTGCTGCACATATGTTTGGCCAGAAGGACACCTGAATCGAATGCCACAGATACGCATACCATCACGTATACGTGTAAAAACAAAGTTATCCACTAACAAGAGATTTGTTATATATAATTACGGAATAAAGGCTATTTTTGCAAGCAGCAATGGACAGGAATTTAGACTGTTAATGGATTATGTATAGATCGCTGGAAGGATGTGGGAAAGGGCTGTAGACGATAAAACCAACAACGTTAAATATCAATTACATAAACGCCTTCAACTACAAGTCTTTTTGCTCAAAAATATTTGCAAACTTGATATTAAAGAAGCGGGTTAGGCGTCTTTAAAGCGCAAACAGATAAAGTTAAATTTGCGGTAATCGAACTGCCGCAAAGGATAATCTTTTAGCTACCAATTGCCAAAAACATGGCATCCTTATAAGTTATTTGTGGAGTAATTGCTTTGCGTTTAACAGCTGCCTTTTTGAGCTTTAAGGCAAACACAAGCAGCGGGAAAAGACCAACGAAGCAGCCACGCAGCCAACGAGCCGAGTAAACAAGTAGCGGCTCCTTTTCGCTTAAACAACCAAACTGCGATGTCAAGCAAGTGACAACGATTGAACGAGACTCAATTTGAAAGGTCGTCCCGGCAGAGGTTAAGTGTACTGCCGGCTAGAAAAAAGAAGGGAACCACATTGAAAATGTTCTCTTCAAAATGTTTTTAGCGGAACTTAAAAGCTGCACAGCTTTTTAAATGAGCGACGTCGTCAGGCGTCGGCAGCGCGTCGACTAATGCAACTGTTATGGTCCTTCCTGTCGTCGTTAGCTTTTGTTGTTGTAATATTTGTTGGCTTCTCTGGCTCGCGTTCGTGTCTAGTCAGCAAGTCTTGCGTTAGAACGTTCATTGAATTTTGTCCTCCAGCTTGCCAAAGGACAAATGCACAATAAACAGCAGCAGAGCATACAGCCGAACACACACACACACATGTGTACATATACTCGTATAATACATACTTGTATATCTGTAGCTAAGTGCAAGGGAGCATAATATAGCGAAGCTTCCTGGCTGCCTGGATATACTCGCACACTCGAGGCGTCCTTTGTAAGGAAGTTGCAGTTTCATTGCACACCGAGTGCAGTATCTCCAGCCGCAGTCGGAGCCACAACCAGACCCAGGAGC